TTCAAAACACAATCTTATTTATAATTATAAGTGCATTGAAAGAGCAGACTACAGAGGAATAAAGGATTCCTTATCAGTAGCAAGGATATGAAAAGACATTTAAAATTGATTATCATGAAAAACCTCAGAAAGCCTAATTGCACATCAAATTTTCACAAATGAGACACAGGAGAGAATTGGATTGGATGATGTCCAATACAGTCCCATTGGTTGGAGAAATATGACAACAAAGGAGATAATGAGACCTGGTTTATTCACCCAAAAAAAAAAAGAGACCTGGTTCACCAAAATGAGGAAGCATAAAAAACACAGGTAAAATCAACAAAACAGTACTGGTGTAATGGTTGATGATGAGTCATGTGAAGTAGTAATACAATTCATTAGTCACTATTGTTCAGAAGTGTAAGGCAAAGCAAGTGAATTCAACACTCTTCAACGTATATATTAATAAGAAGCCAGTTTCAAAACTGACGAAATAAATGCAAAACAAAAATAAATAAAAAAATTGTACTTAAAATGTAGGGGTAGGATTGGTATTTCACTTAGGGATGGGAGCACAAAGTCCAAACAAAATCTAAAACAAGATCACAGCAACAGGAAACAGTTGTCAAACAGAAAAATAGGATATTAGGGACAGCAACCCCAACTGAGAGCGACCATAGAAACTCTGTATGCCCTACTGTAATGCATGAGATGAGAGTGCAAAAGGTCTTTCATCTCCTTCCCCTTTTCACATACAGAAGTAACAGAGAAGAGAGAGAGTATGAAAAACAAGTGTAAGGTAAAGTTTGGGAAGACTAGATAAGTGTATTTTTTGATTTTTCTTGTATTATGTGTAGAAAAAATAGAGAGGAGATGTTGATTGATGTGACCCAAAAAAGATTAAAATATGAAATAAGTGTACTTTTTTAGTTTAGCCAAACTTGACCTAAATCGAGAGAGCTTGTCCTCAGGAGACTTATTAATCACTTGTATTAATTAGATTTATTTATTTATAAATTTTGATTAATAAAATTTATTTTGAAAATTTATTTATAAAAACTATAAAAATTGATAAATCAATAAGACGAAGGCCTCGTTTGGCAACTTTCTATTTTAGCTAAAAAGTTAAAAAGTCACTATAAATTGTCACATCACTCTTTTTACTTTTCTGTATATTTTTTTTATAAAAAATTAAAAAATTACTAATATAATCTGTTCATAAATTTAACAAATAAGATGTATCGATAATTTACCCTGGTTCTTAGACCTCGTTTGACAAGTGACTTTTTTAGTGAAAAAGTCAAAAATTCATTAAAAAAATCAAAAAATTAACTACCTATACTAAAAAGTCAAAAATTCTATTTTCTTTTTACTTTTTACATATCTTTTCATAAAAAATTAAAAAAATATCTCAAATATATTAATTTTTTATATCATATTTTAATTAAAAAATCAAAAAAAATATTAGAAAAACTTGTTATCGCCTTAGTAGTCGCCACCATTAAAGTGAGCCTCACATTAAAACTCTTCCTTTGCCAATTTTCTGCTTCCTAACCCACTCTCTTTAATCTCCCTCTCTCTCTCTCTCTCTCTCTCTCTCTCTCTCTGACATGTCATGATCTGAGGTTTGTGTGTCACGTCATATTCACCTAAGATTCTTCCTCCTTATCTCCCTACACCTACTTTGTTTAAAGCTATATTTTGCAATTTTTTCCCCTGCTCATCTATGGGACTTTCTTATACCATCTCTAATGTTTCATTAAATTTGACATTAAATTTAAAATTTGGTAAAAAAAGTATTTTTTAGAGCTTCAATAATTTTACTAAATTGATATCAAATCGAGAATTTACTAAAATGAGAACAGGCTCTGCATTTCATCAAAACATTGTGTATGACCGTTGGGGGAGACCAACCGGTCGACCGGCCAGTTGACCAACCGGTCGACTACCAAAAGGTTCAAACAGTTCCAAAAAAAGGTTCAAACAGTTAAAAAAAATTTTTACCTTACTGGTCGACTACTAAAAGATTCAAAAAGTTCCAAAAAAAAATCTAAAAAAAAAAAAAATTTTTTGGCTTAACTGGTCAACCAACCGGTTGTCCCGACGCAGATTTGATAAAAATTTGATGAAAATCAACCATTGAAGCACTCGGTTTCAGATCAAGAAAAAAAGTTATTTTTTTATTTAGATTTGATGAAAATTTTGATGGATCGTTAGGGATGCTCTTATTAATGCCTATATCATAAAAATAAAATTTAAAAAAAAACACTCATCTTCATAACTAGATGGTCATCAGCCATCAGAGAAGTTAGTAGAATCCACAACTTCTTTTACAATTGGGAAAAATTATTAAATATATATCATTGAAAATTATCCACGTAACATCACGTGCCAAATACCCTACAACGTAAGGAACCCAAAAATATGCTCACTGATTGGACATTGAGAGACTAGAGAAAAGGATTGGTCTATGAAAAACTATGCCGAAAAGTGCCAAAAAAAATAATTAGAATTTGAAAGATTTGAATAAAAAAATTATCTCCCACCACAAAATAAATAAATAAATAAATAAATTGACACCATATATTTAAATTTGGGACATTTTTCTAAATACTTTTTTGACTACATATATGACACTTCTGAATGCCAATGTACATATACTTATTTTCTCCTATATATCTAGTAATGTGGAAGAAAGGAAGGCTACTACTTTGGGCCTCATTTGTTTGAAGAGTTAGATGGGGGATTGAGATTGGGAGTGAGGTGAGACCTACTAATATTGTGTTTGTTTTGAGAGATGGGGAGAGGATTGATAGTGCGCTCCGGATTAGGATGGATCTCTCCAAGGGGATTCAGATGGGTCTCAAGAACTTGGTATTAGAAAAATAATACGGCGGACTAGAAATTTTTTATTTTTATTTTATTTTTTACATGTCGAGCATTTTTTTTAACATTAATGTTTAATTTTTTATTTTTTTTGTTAAGTAAAAATCATTATTTTATTTGTTTTATTTTTTTTAGAATTTTTTTATTTTTTTTATTTTTTTTAAATTTTTTACATGTTGGGCATTTTTTAAAAAAATTAATGTTTAATATTTTTGTATTTTTTTTATTTGTTTTATTATTTTATATTTATTTTATATAAAAATAATTTAACAATCCCTACAGTAACAACTATCATCAAAACAAACACAATTTTACTTAATCTCCTCACTAACAATTCTCTCATTATTAATTTCCTCACTATCAATATCCTCTATTCTACTTCTGAAAACAAACGGGACTCGGTGTTTTCATAGCCTTGGATAAAGAAAACCTCCCAGAAATAGCACCTAAACCTAAAGCTAAAGCAAGCAAAACTGTCAAACCCTATTCTAACTTGCTAAGCCTTTCCAGAGCAATCACCAAAATATCCACATTCCTAGGACCCTTGTTATTGTCTCAAAGAAAAAATTCTGATAAAGGAAAACATTGAATTGAATACATATATATATATATATATATATCTGCAAAGCAGTTGTGGTGGTGGGGTTGCTTTCAAAGAAGAATCCAAACCCCTAAACCCACCTACCTTGTATACAAGGTGCCATTCATGTCTGCTACAATGGCCCTGGAAATGTGGGTTTCGTTTGCCATCTACTTTTGCTTTCTCTTTCACAGCACAAAGGAATTAATCCTACCAAAAATAAATATGTTTGTTTATGACACTAGAATTTTTTTATTTTTTATTTTTTTCCAGTGTTTTTAACCTCATTTCAGGAGCACAAACTGAGAATTTTATGAGATCACCTTTTAACCTTGTATATTAGGCGAAGTAAGAGATTAAAACTCAAATTTAAGACTTTATGGATAAAATTTAAATAACTTAAACACACCTAAGGTATATATTGGAAATAGTTTTTAAGGGGGGAACAAGACACATTTGACTTGGAATGTATTGAAATTGACAGCCACCAAGATGATTTAACTCCATGACATGGTAGACAGCTAAAGCATGTCTTGTATTTCACCTAAAAGGTGGATGTGCCGGGCCAAGAACTTCTTAATTGAAGAGAGACTATAGCAAGATTGAATAAATAGAGTCTGGGTTCTAATGACCGATTAATTTGAGAGGTAAATTTCACCGTTTACTAATGGGAAACTCAGTCAAAGTCTGGAGTCCCAAACGATTAGGAGGTTTTGAATTTGAGACAATGAAAGGAACATACCCCAGGCCCCAAGCCCTAACACTTACACTATGTAGTGTTACTAAGCAATAATAAATTATAAATGAAATGGAATAGACATATTTTGTTTTTCACTCACTCAACTATATAGTTATCATTATCACAATATGAAATATTTTTATTGCTTGATAATATGATCACGTGATACTACCGTTTATCCATTATTTATTCAACACGATGGATATAAACCTATGGTTAGTGTACGGTAAGAATGTCATTTCAAGCGCTTTTCATTGGGGCTAATTTAAGGGAATTTCTAGATGCACTCACTTGATTTCTTTGCACACTACTACTACACATATTGTAAACCTTGTATGTACATATTAATTGATAGTTAAGTCCTAACGGAACTTGGGTCACTGCAGAAACTAAAATTTTTAGTAAGGTATATGGTGGTCTTCAAGCTTTATCATGTAGTACTTCAATTTGAATGCGTTTAGGTCATATTGTAGGATTCATTATTTAATGTTAATATTTTGAAAGACATGTGAGGTGGCAAATAATGATGGGCCAGCCATATTATCTATGCTTAATCAACAAACCCAATTGTATGATCAAGCAGGGTGTCAATTTTTATGGTGTCATTGAGAGCCTTCAAGGTACATAAACCCTCGGTGCTTCAGGTTGTGCAGAACCTTAAATTCAATACCAAATGCTCAAATTTAACAAGAAAATTAGCTCCTTTGGTATTTGCCACGATGAACCAACATGCTACATGGCAATGCCATTTTATCCATATTCCATGGAGAGTTTGTCAGAAGCAGTTTGTACCATCTCAGGAATGAGAGCACATACATCAACTGACTTCATTCATTTGTAGGAAAATGAATTTGTTACATTGATTTGTACAATGCAACGATACCCTTATTCACAACAGCAAGCACACTATTTGATTACCTATGCAGATACAAACACATGATATACTACAATATATGAGCACAAGTCAGTTGATCACCTTGATACATTTAGCAAATTCCAGAGAAGCTATGTATGCCAATCAGGTATGGAGGTTACATATCACCTTTAACATCCAAAAATTTAAGCATAGGTTCAAGCAACCGAAGCTTTGCGGCAGATATTGAAGATATCGTCTAAAGGGGCATGATCACCAGTTCCCTCGTCTTTCCTTGCATACAACAATTGCTTCCCTTTAAAGACCAACATGCCTCCCTATAGCAAATAGAAACAAAACTAAGTAGCGAGTTCGTGTAACCCTAGTCAAACACGTATGAACGAGTGGGCGTGGATTTAAGAATACAAGGGAGGCTAGATTAAACCTGTTGTAAGACACTGCTCCTGTCATCCGGAGTTGCTTCAATTGTATAGTTCTTTAGAGCTTTTTTAATATTCTCAAATCTTGAGAACACTTTAGCCTGACATATCAAAGCCAATGCACAAAAAATTTGCATGTCATGAGTGCAATGCAAAAAATCCATTCCTTAATGCCAACCAGAGAGCTTGTGTCCAAAACGGGAAGAGGAGATTTACACTGGCTGGGTTAAAAAATGTACGTCCGATACCATAGTACAAGCCCAAGACATCATATGCCTGAGATGAAAAAACAATGTCATAAACTGCTGCTAAGAAGTATAGTTAACTGGGATAGTAAAAAGAGATGCACAATTTTTACCTTGCGATCAGGATCTGCATATAGGCAATCTGATGGAAACGGTAACTGGCCACACAAATTCAGAGACAAAATAATCAGCTCCAAGAATGAAGAAAACACGTGGTAACTCAATGCAAAAGGCAATGAAATTTATCCCTGCTTCAAAGAGGGAGGGAAAAGAAGAACGAAAGAAACATTTTACAAACTTGTTATGAGGTTCAAAACATGAAAACCCCACGTGCCTCCAACAAGAAAAGAGATAATAGATTTTCGCTAGAAATGTTCCCTTTCGTCTGCAACTATATACTAGTAGATGACACTATCGATTGACACTAGATTAGGAAAGAATTTCCTTCCTTCTCAATGTCCGGATGAACATGCATTCTTTTCGATATATTATGACAGTAGCCTTAACCAACGAGACCTAGCCTAGTTGGCCACCATACCTTCCTTAGGGCTTAGTCCCAAGGAGGTCATGGGTTCAATTCCCCTTGGGGGGTTGAATTGAGGGAGTGCAAGCACTTAGGTGCTTTGCCAAGGATGGGGAGATTTTCTTCCATAGGTGCTAATCTAACAACTAACAACTAACATTGGCCGATCAAAAAAAAAATAAAAATGACAGTAGCCTTATAATGACAAACCTGTGAATGCAGAAGATTGTGTTGAAAACCCTTTTTTATATAATGTCTCTAATCTTGGAAACATAGCAACTGCACTGAGGGCTCCACACTGTTATATAACCATATATAGTTCTCACAAGGTTTTTTCATTCATTCAAATATTTCATAGCAGCACTTTGCATCCTAAATCCCAAGATATTTAACAGTCATTACAATTTGATTTATTACAATCAGCCTGTACTGACAGAACACCAAAAGCAGGACAGCATACAAATTATGCAACTTGGGGTGAGTCTTAAAATACAAATCCAAGCAATGAAAGTATTGGATCAACTGAGGGAAAAAAATACAAAATAGAGGGCTCACCAGCTTTCCCTTTGGAGATTTTTAATGATCATTTTCTCACAAAAAGTACATAGAATATGCTTTAAACCAAACAAACAAAACAGAGAGAGAGAGAGAGAGAGAGAGTACAAACACAAATCATATAAGTGACAGTAATTTGAATAAATCAAAATTTATGTCTGCAGGTTCAACACTTATTGCCAACTCTAAGACACTGCAAATCCCAATCTTAGCAACTATCTTTTGGTAGAATGTAAGATAACCTAATGTGATCAAAAGGGTTTTCATTTCAAGGGCTTCAAGCATCCTAGATCTAACACTAAACTTTCTGCAAAAAAGATGCACCGCAACAATTATACTGATATCAACCATTTCCTAATTTAAGAAAAGGGCCATATGCATTCTTAAAAGTTTAGAAAACAATTTTTTCATTACAATATCAATAAAGCATCCACTAAAAAGTAAGCAAACAACAAAAGAACTACAAAGGATATAATGTTGTCCAGAATAGTCATAACCACAAAAAAAAATTCCATCAAATAGTTACATAAACATCCCCCCAAAAGTATTAGGCCATGTTTGTTTGGGTAGAAAAGAGCTTGGGATTGGATTAATAGTCCAATAAAAGTATTAATCCGATGTTTGGTTAAACAATTGAAGTACGGACTAATTATTTTAAACTTGACTATTAGTTAAGATAGGATACATAATCCAATGGATTCGTAGTCTTAGGACTATTAGTCATGAGAATGCTAATCCAGTCCGCCCAAACAAACATGGCCTTAGTGTACAAACAGAGATGAAAAAGGAATTACCCGCTCGGCAAGAATACGAGCTTTGTTAGGAGTACCAACACCAACAGCAATTAGCTTCACATCAGCTGAGTCAAATCTCGGTTTTGATTCTTTGAGAGCTGAAGCAAGTTCCCAGCTAATAAGTGCAAATCAAGGAAATAAAGGAAAGGGTAAGTTAAAATAAAATCTTGTTTTGGTGATAAAAACAATTATCCTAATATTATAGCATCTACCAGCAAACGCATCCAAAGTGCCTCAAAAGTGCAACTACAGCCATTCCCTGAAAGAAAAAGAAGCACCACTTAAATTACGAAGAGTAAATTGTGCACAATTTCCCGCACCACAGCTGCAGCATTCTGGCAGTCCAAAGAAGACAATTATGAATAAAAATTTTCGACATAAAAAAAAATAAATCAGCATTTGTTAATCATCTATCTGATGGGACTTAAAAGAATTAGTTTGGTTTGGTTTGGTTAATCATCTATCTAGAACTATAAAATCATCAAAATTTTGTTATTCACTAAACAGGGTAAGTGTACTGAGATGGCCTGTCCACTTGGAGCCTTGTTTTATTGTCATCAACCTTCCCAAGTATCAGATGCAATATGCACTTAATTAACTAGTTGCCGGGCACATGTGATACATTTGCAAATTGCAACTTGAGTTTGGTAGCTTATAAACTCTTTATCATTGACACATAAAAAGAAAAAGGGGTCAAATTTTGACATGAATTCAAATTCGCCCACTGACGCTTGGCTGGGAAGGGATTTAAGAAGGAAAAAATTAGGTAAAATGTAATTAAAATATATTTATATTTTACATAATTCCATACAATTTTTTTCCAAATCATTCAACCAAACACCGCGTAAAAGAATAGCTTCGATACAATACGAAGTCTTAGAGCAATCATGTATACATCTATTAATACGGTGCAACGACGTTTCGATTAGTAAGAATTTAAAACCTCTTTTTGATCCCAGAGGTCCCTGAACATGACTGGTTCACCAGTCGCAGTAAAGATGGTAACTTCACCGAGAACATCAGTGATGTTGTCGCCGAATCCAGAAGTGGAAGCAGCTCTTGTGGACCGAATTTGATTCTTGGATTTTGGGGAACGGACGGTGGTGATGGGGTGGGAAGGAAGGGAGAGAGGTTTAGATGGGAATAATCGGGGAGAGGACGATGTAGAAGGAGAAATAGGTTGAAGAAGAAATGGTAGGTTCTGTTGTATCATCATCGCCATTGTTGTGTACAGATTGAAGAAACCCTAGATTTTTTTCTGGAGAGAGAGAATTCCCACCTTCCGACTGCCTAATCAGTGATTTTGTGACGCGGGAGAAGTTTCTGTGACGTATTGCATTAAGGCCGCAAATGAACTAGTCGTTCATGAACCATTCGAGTCCAGCTTCTTTAAAATTCGTTTGAAGCCTGTTTATCCCGACTCGTTTATTAAATGGATGGTTTTGAATTCAATTTTTAGGCTCATTTATTTATTGGCCGAGCTTGAATAGTTTAAGGTCCTGTTTGGTAGGATTTATTTTTAGCTTATTTCAGTTTTTAACTTAATTTAAGTTATTTTGATGTGTTTGATTCAGCTTAACAATATAATTTATAATTTTTTGTAAGTTAAAAATCAACTTATTCTTTAAGTGGGAGAAGAGAAGCTTAATTTACAAGTCAAAAATCAGCTTATGTTCACAGTTATAAGTTATAAACTGTTAGGCTATAAGTTATAATCACTTTCCCACAGCTCTACTAAACGGAGCCTAAATAAGTTACTAGAATCATAAGCCGTTTGAAATATAGTGTCTGTGTAAATTTAAATATTTAATTAATGAAATTTATTATTAATATAAGTATTATTATATATTTTACTTATAATTTTATATTTTTCTTATATCTTAGAAAGTAAATTAATTATTTGTTTTTTTTCAAGCTTGAGTTGAGTTCGAATTTAACAAATATTTGACGAGCCAAATTTAAATTTAATTTTTGAAGCTCCATTGGAACTCGGCTCAAGCTTGAGCTCAAATAATTCATAATAAACGTACTTGAACAATTAAAAGTTCAGGTCGGTTGGTTTTGTTTGCGCCATAGTTCCCTTGCAGCAAATTCATTTCACAATTTATTTATTTAATCCTTGAGCAACGCCCAGGTTTGTTGGGCTTAAGGCTAGGCGAGTTCCCATCCATATCACTTTTGGGTCAAGATTTTTTAAGCCCAACACGTTTTTAAAATAGTAATAAGGGTTGGTTTGGGAAGCGGGTTGACTTTTTGACTTTTTTGATTATTTTAGCTTAGTTTAAAAAGTTTGGTTTGGGAAAGGTTTTTTTGATTTTCTTGACTTTTTTTGTGAGAGAAGAGTGTAATGATTATGGGTTTGATGTAATGTTTTGTTTGTTGTGGCTAAAATAGCCTATTTTATCTTTTGTAGCTATTTTAGCCACAAACCATCTTGCCAAACAGACCCAATAAATTTTGGAAAAATTATATATAAAAAAAACTCTCCGGGATTTGACTCTTATAATAATATAAGTTCTGAATTTTTAATTTTCTCAACATAAATTTTAAATTTTTTATTTATTTTCATTAAGTAAAATTGATCAAAAAATATATATTTTAGTCATTAAACTCAATAAAAAAGTATTTTAGACATTTTATATAAAATAATATTGATTTTAATGACTTAAATACTATTTTTTTGGTCTGTTTTACTTAGTAAAAATAGATTAATGATTTAAATATAAAAACATCAAAAACTTAAGGTTTAATTTCATAAAATAATAAAAATAGGATTTATTTTGTTACAAAGGTTAAATTTAGGATTTTTTTTGTAATGTTTTCATAAATATTTTAAAATAGTAATGTTGTACAAATAATAAATTTATACATAATGATGTGACTCATTATATACCATTCGTTTCAAAATAAAATATCACTAAAAATATATTTATTTATAATAATGATATTATCACGTTATTGTTATGAAATTTTTTATATGAATAAAATTTTCTATTTAAAAAACTTTAGGGTGAGACATAATCTGTCCACAAAAATCTGTCCATTGTGGACAACCCCACAAAAAAAGATATATAATTAATTAATTAATTAAATTAAATACCCAATTTTTGGCCTTATAAAGACTTAAATTTATAGCCCAAGTAATACTCAGAAATTTCACTCATGGAAGCCTTTTTTAGGCCCGAATTTCAGTCTTAAGACATAAACATAGCACAAGGCCAGGTTACGCCTAAGGTCCAGCTCGCCCAGTAGAGCCTTGAGTTGGATAAGGACCAGAGATTTTGAAAATTGGGCCGACTCATCCATGGGCTTGGTTGGATGGAGTTGGTGAGATCGGTATGAGTCCAATCCAATAAAAATCGACCTTGCTCGTTTTTCCGGGTGAGTTACTTTTTAAACTAGCTTATCCAACAATACTCTCTATTGTTACTATATTTTATTTAAATATTTTTTCCCTTGTTTTTTAATTTAAATTGTGAGGTTCCTTGCATTGGCTCAACTGAAATAAGCATTTTATGTATTTGAGAAAACTACATTGAATTTCTTTCATTTGGAGAGTGATATTATAGCAACTCGTAGGCCACATTTGATGGTGGTATTAATTGGGGATTTTTGGTGAAAAACCCCCCTCATTGGGCCTATTTTGTGTCAAACCCACAGAATAAAACAATGACCCCAAAAGCCCCTCAATTAAAAAAATATTGTGAATTGACTGAAATGTCCTTCCATATAAGTAGGGAAATATGAAACAATTCCACCGTTTCTCTCCCCTCACTTTGTTTCATCGATTGACAACCCTCCTCTGAATATCCTCATTCGAAAACCCTAACATCGATTGAAAACCCTTTTCCGAGTCTCATTACTCTCGCTCTCTAGAGCTACTTTGTCTTTCTACCCCTAGAACGTTACAGGTTCGTCGCTTGCGCTCGAATCGAACTCCGCATTACGCTTTACTCTCTTTCTTGGACATGCATTTTGCAGGTGATTTTTTTCCCTTCCTGTTAGTTTTTCGATATTATGAAGCTTGTCTGGGTTTGTTTTCATTTTGCGAGTGGTGTATGAGATTACGTTGGCATGGTATCGGATGGGATTGTAAGGCTGCTTAGGATTTTTTTTTTTATTGTTGCATTAGGGTGAGTAGAGTTTGGGATTTTGGGTTACATTAAGGATCATCTGTTTTAAAAATTTTACCACTATCTTAAAATACTTTAAATTACTAAATCATGTGAGAATGTTAAGGTTTAAAAATTTTGAAAACTAATTTAGGTATTTCAGAATGGTGTATGCAGTTTTGCTTCAATTTCGTTGCTTTGATTTCTGTAGTGTTTTGGTCCTGCAATTTCAATGCTTTTGATTTCACTTGCTTCATAAATTTTTCAGAGTAAAATTTTACTTCCAATCAGAGTAAAATTTTACTTTCAATCAGAGTAAAATTTTACTTTCAATAAAATCAAAGTTTTACTTTCAGATTCACTTGTTTATAATGAGAGTAAAATTTTACTTTAACTCTAGCCTTGACTCATTACATAAATGTGCATATCAATATATATATATATATATATATATGTATGTGAATGTGATTGTCGTTTCGTTATTTCTCTGATTTCAGTTTGAATGTGAATTGTACATGTTATTTTTAGAATTATGTTGTGTATAGTTGAAATTGAGACAAGGTTTTCTTGATTCTTGGTTCTATAAATTTTGTATGTGTTTTTGGTTTAATTCCTAGGGTATTGGTCAAAGTAAAATTTTACTTCCAATCAGAGTAAAATTTTACTTTCAATAAAAGTAAAGTTTTACTGCCAAACAGAGTAAAGCTTTACTGTCTCATTACAATGCTTGTGCATTTTCTTTAGTACTTATTTGTTTTGTCACTTTGTTGTTTAAAGTAAAATGTTACATGCTGATATAGGGAAACATTTTACTGTTTTAAAATGGTTGTTACGAGAAGCAAATGTGGTGATGATGATGATGATAATGATGATGATGATGATGATTTTGAAATTCCACCAACGGCTATACAAAAGAAGAAAGTCCTTAAAAGAAAAAAGCAAAAGTAGTAAAGAAGTTCAATCTAATGCTAGTGATGATGAAGGCTGTAATGAAAGCAATCCAATGCCTTCAACAACAAAACTTTCGAAGTTGAATATTGTAGACGGAGTACGGGAGATGGAGAACTATGTGAAACAATATAGGTCAAATATTGTTTCATTGTTAAACCTAATATGAGACACGAGGTTCACTGAAAGACATATTACTACCCTCGAGAGAACACCTTTTGCGATGTTGTTCAAATCTTTTGGGAAGAAAGAAGATATGGTGTTAAAGAAGTTCAAGAAAATTGATGATAATGTCATGGATGTGATCAAATCTTATGACTTTCATGCAAAGGGATTTAAGCTTGGAGAGAAAACGTGCGACATACGGGACAGTGACGTTACTTTGATTGTTGGGATAAAATCAGGAACAAAAAAAGTAAACGTCTCATATGGGAAGAAACAAGAATTAGCTTTTGTACAGAGAATGTTTCGTATGTTTCGTAATATGTCAAGAATATCCGCAAAGAGTTTGTGAGAGGCATTAGGAAATACATTGGAAGGCACGACAGTTGATGTTGAGGATATTGCCCGAATTATGTGTTTATTTGTTGTGGTAACTTTGTTATTACCAACAATTGGTATAATAGTTGGATGGCTTTTGTCGCCCTTGTAGAAGATTTGGAAATGATGAATTCATATACATGGTCGACTGCAGTTGCATCTACGTTGACTACTTCAATCAATTCTTCATTAGGAAGTCTTGAAAATGTAACTGGATGTGTACTTCTTCTTTTGGTAAGTAAATTGAACTACTTGAAATATTATGCAATCTATCTTTAGAGAATTAACTGATTTCGATTTTTTATTTTATAGTACTGGTTATGCAAGCATACTACCCTCATTCAACCTTAAGGAAAAAATTTATGTCCAAGGCTCCTTCAATGGGACTTATCAACGTTGAGGAAAAAGCTAATGAAGAGGTCATTGCAAGCACTAAAGCCTGAAGAAGTATCATTTTTCCAAACTTAGTCTTACTGGTTCACTTTGCTTAAAATTGTATTTACGTAATAAAACTTACTCTTGAACAGAGTAAAAGTTTACTTAAAATTGGAGTAAAAGTTTACTTATAATTAGAGTAAACTTTTACTTTGAAACAGAGTAAAATTTTACTTACTCTTGAACAGAGTAAAAGTTTACTTGCAATCAGAGTAAAATTTTACTTTGAAACAGCGTAAAATTTTACTTACTCTTGAACTGAGTAAAAGTTTACTTAAAATTAGAGTAAAAGTTTGCTTACAATCAGAGTAAACTTTTACTTTGAAACAGAGTAAAATTTTACTCTGGTGGTTAAAGTTTGCTTCATTGCTGACTTCTTTTCTTTTTCTATTTTTCAAAT